GTTAAGGTTCTAACTACTCTTGGAGGTAGCGGTTTGCGATCCGCTACACTCGTACTGTTGCTTGTGAAGAAAGTAAGGTCGGTGACCTAAATTACGCTTCCTCTAAGCGCAAAGCTACGGCAGCCTTGCTGCATGCGACATCCGCAAGCGCCACTTTATGCAGTCAGCGCTCTAGGTGATCACCTCAAGTCTTATTTTCGCGACGACGCGAGTTCCAACCTGGATGTTACGCGGGGTTATTCGAGTATAGTTTCAGAGCCACAGCTTCGGCACGAGGGTCAAAAGTCAAAATCCTTGACATCATCAGCTTAATCATCAGAATTGCGAGGATCATCGTGAGCTTTGTGAGCAAACAAACGATCGTGAGGGTTAGAACGTCGACAAGAAGCAGATGGCTGCTGATTGCTCTGGTGAGAACTACGAGAAGCATATCTACCCGAACGGAGGGTCCACATTATCAGCGGCAGCAGCCGCAGCAAGAGAAAAAACTTGCAAAGCTTGCACCAATCGCCAAATCAATTTTCGATGTCATCCACTGGCGAGTTTCCATGACGCCATGCCAGATCGCAAACATCGCATACCACCAAACGTGTATTCTTCACGCGTGGTCGCGTCCTCTACTTGTGGTGGAACACGCTGATTATCTGCCGGCTCGCAAAAAGTAGACGAAGATTGTAGAGCAGCCATTAAAGAAGAAGAGAAAACGCCCTTTTCGAACACCTTCCCCTCTTCTTGATTAGAAAGGAAATCGGTACTACCATGTCGTGAACGTGGTGGCGGAGAAGCTTGTTTGCGATCGAAAAGAGCTCTTGGTGAAATGGCTGGCTATTCAGTGAGCGAGAATACGTAGAAGTCTCATAGTCCAATTCTTTGTGACTGTCGCGATATCGTTATCGCGCTCGACGCCCTTTCAAATCCTGTGCTATAATATTAAATAGGCAAACCAAAAGTGCATATCATGTATCTTCAGCAAGTCTGTAACAATATATGCGGTTTGCAAGCAATAAATTTCCAAGGATTTGGTTGCACGAACCCATGACCAGAATTCATGGTCAATTATCTGGACGGAATCCAGATGTGATTGCTGGATGTATGGTACGTACATGAAACTTCGTGGGTCTTTTAGCAAGTGAAACCGGTCAGATGGCGCGGAAAACGCGGGTGGAGTCATCACACGAGCTTTCATTCGACTGAAGAGTTCGTCAATCTAAGGTGCCACCACCACGTCAGTCGTGAAATTTGTGACGACGTTCAATGTCGCGGTAGCCCAAATACACTGGATGACTGAACTCTCCGAGGGTCCTTCAAAACAATCACCATCCGCACAAGCTGGTCATTTGATACCAGGTTTTGGCTCAACGTGCGAAGGCGCCGCTCGACGGGAAAATGGAGCATCATCCAGGTTCGACGGTGGCGAAGGCACCCTAGCATCCTCGGATTGAGATGCGGTTTTGCTCTGCGCTCGTCGTCCTCGCAAGTTGTCTTCGATGTGTTTCAAATCATATGGGATCTCGAGTTGACCGAGTCTCAAAGTCGGAGTATTTTGAGAAAGTTTGAAGAAAATAGGGGTAAACCCGCTTTTGAGTGGGTGATGGTTTGATGGGTTCAGTCTCATTACAAATGTTGTGTGAGTCACATACTTCTGTGTATGTTCAACATTAACTATGTATCATATATAGTTGGATATTCCCAATGCTGTTCTATCAAAATTGGAGGCAATTATCAATTTAAAGAAGGTTGAAGGCATATTGACCATATTAAAGGTCACTTCATCTCTTTCCTCCTCGTTCGCGTAAATCAACGGCTCTTTGGAAGCAGGCAATACATCATGAAGCATGTTTACCGATTCAAGGCTTCCTCAGTTAATGCGTGTATACATACGGACGGGCAATTCCCATTACAACCCCGGCCAGAGGTTGAAATGGAATTGCCAAAAGGATATATAATAGAAAAAGTTTTCAAAGAGCTGCCAAACTGCATACACATACAGCGTTTACGGTTTATAAGACGAAGTTGTGACCACGCTACCTTGGACCGTGTACAGTCGTCGCAAAAACGAATTGTGTTAAAAAAACGAGCCACACATCTAGAGTTCTGCGTGCGTAGCTCAAGTCAAACCAAAACCTGCTTGAAACTTAGTCGTATGCGAAGCGCTCTGTTGAAGACAAAGCAGCGTCATCATCGTAGTTCAAGCTTGGCGCCCCTCTACTCTAGGACAACGATACGCCTTGAGCCGCTTTGGGTTCGCGGTGAAATGGCATTGCTATGAAATGGTATTTGAAAGTTAACATTTTTCGGTTCTGGCCATGTGCTAAAAATCTCAGCGAGACTACATGCCGTCGCAACCGAGAGAGCTTACGAGGGCACGATGAGGAAAAAATGTCTTCTGCCGGCTCTGCCCGATGCGCTCCTGGTAGTACACTTTCGGGCTGACAGGTGTACCACAGCTGTCAACAGTATCTAGTGAATCGGAAGGTATAGTCATACTCAGAAAGCTCTTTGAAGTTTAAAGTTCCACTGTGGCACGATTGCCTTGGCATCGTCGCCGCTTATAACTTGCCGCACCCTCGGTCGTGATGGAAAGGCTGGGTCATCCGGTGCAGTGCGCTCCTCACTTGCGAGTTGGGACTGACTTTGCTTAAAGTTTAAGACCTAATTTGTAGCCGTAGCTGCTGTCTAGTGGATATGAGCGGAGTTAATGCTGCAAGAATGAAAGACGATGAGCTACCGTCTCGACGTTCAGATCATGCTATGGACTTAGCAAGGTCAAGCATTAAACGACGCACTACTTAGACGACTGCTAGACTGAAGATGGCTTTAAAACTGTAAGGCAGAAGGGGCAACGCGTCGATTTCAATCAGTGCATGATTTAAGTGCGACACTCTTTGAAATCTGGTCAAAATTCAGTAGTCGATGTACAGTTCTCTTAGATAGTGTGAATCTATCCGACCGCTGTTGCTTTTAGCACAGAGCGGTACTTTGAGAAACTGTTAATTGGGGTAGAAACCTCTTACGGAGAAATTTTTAGACGCGAGTATCGCTTTCTGGTTGAGCGGGAGGCCTGATCATTGTCTAGCTAGCTCTTTGAGTCGAATATTCCTCTGAACAGGGGCACGGAATCCCGTTACATACCACCGCATTGTTCACATGTACAGCACCAATGTCGGCATGCTCGATGACTGCATTATGTTGGTCTCCATCCACAATGAGATCAACTCGAAAATCAAGATCATTCATCCCTAATTCCATTAAAAGCCAACAACCCTATTGAGAATTCAACGTTGCTTATGTTTCAGCATTGGCGATGCAAGTGATCGCTCAAAGACACAAAGCCTTCTCGGTTCTTGTGGTGGAAACCTACTGGCACAATCGATGCGCGGTTACATCTTCGAACCACTTACGCTGAATTTTATGGAGCAAGATGGGACATTTGTATGCCGAAAGCTGCTTTCTGGTATTGAAATGCGAAAGTTCGACACGTTGAAACGCAAAAGAGGTACTATAGGCAGTGAGACAATAGACATCTCACGATTGTTAAAGCGTCGGCAAACAGTGAACCGTGTGGAAGTCGGTTAAGGAAAAAATCAGCTGTACGTGCCATGCATGGACATCGAACTATTTTGGTGTTGACGCTTGGACGCCGCACGTCGGTGAATTTCAAGTGACGGTGGGATAGATGCACGCCATTAAGGGTGGAGCGGCAATTGATTTTGCCAAACTGGGTGCAGTCGGCTATATCTTCTGCTTCCGCCTCTTTACTATAACTCGGTCACGAAAAAAATCCTTAAGCCATCGAGCAGTTTGCAATCCATTTACCTTATTTAGTGGTGGTGATAATATCATCTTGTATAACCTCTCGAACTCGCGTATCTGATTTTGCCGTGAATCACAGTCATATTTTACTAATCCACAGAAATCGCAGAAGCAGCATCCCTTAATTCTATTCATAACCTTTCAAAGTAGTTCATGTATAGCTTTCAACTTGATTGATAATATCTTTATTGCACCATTGTTTTGTTTGGTCAGCTCAATAAACATTAATTTGATTGCTTAATTATGTTGTTCTTAGTGAAACATGATATATCAACTTTGAAGATAAACAATTACATTAGTAAATAAAAGAACACTTAATTAGATAATCTGTAGTATGTAAAAACGAAACGCTGTGAACTCTAAAATGATTATCGTCCACCAAACTTGTAGCTTTGCTCGTGTCTCTGCTGACATCAACGTTGCTTCGAACATCCCGTTAACTCATCACTTGTGGCTATTGGATAGTGTTTACGAGACCCTGCTTGTTTCATTTTGAGGAGAAGCAATATAGCAGCATTTTAGAAGTACACGAAATTGTCAATTCGGTGTAATGCACATATTTACCGAAAATCCTCCTCGGTAATCACTCTCTCTAATAAGCGTATCGTTTTAAATGCGTGCAAACGAAGACAAGATCGCGCAACTTCTTGACAAGGTTCGCTATATCTTACTGTGATACCAATTGTCTAGCTCATGCTAATGCTTTTTTACGTGCAAGACAACGGATTTTGACAAGGATGAGCGTTATATGGCGACGTCTGATCTATGTGTGGAGCTTAACAAGGATGTCGATCTGGGATCATATCTCGAGCCCAAGTACGTTGAGTCCATAAGAGTATATTATCAATAAAAGACGTCTAAATGGTATTTCTTGGTGGTAAACTGCAGAGTCTGTGTGGCGGTTTTGAAACAGCTGGATGATAAATCAAACGACGTGCAATCTATCGCCGTTAAATGTCTGGGCATTCTTGTCACTAAAGTACAGGTAGCTCAAGTAGCGGACATCTGCTCTAAGCTGTGTGACCTCATTTTAAATGGCAAATCGGAGCTTCGAGATATCTACTCCATTGGCCTAAAGACTATCGTGGCAGATGTGTCTCAGTCCACGGGAGCGTCTATCGCTAATAGTATTTGTGTAAGGTTACTGACGTCTTTTGGAAAAGACAAGGACGTCGCTGTTAAGGCTGAAACGCTTGACATTCTCAATGATATTTTACGCCGTTTTGGATATGATGTCTCTACTGAGCACGCAACTATCATGGAGCTGCTGATGATGCAGCTCAACGACGAGTCACCGCTGGTACGCAAGCGTGCCACTGCTTGTTTAGGATCGCTAGGTGTCATGGCGTCTGATGTTCTTGTAAGTCGACTGGTCGAGCATCTTATCCAGGGCATTCAAAGATCGACCGACTTTACGAATGTTCGCACGTTGATTCAGACTATCGGTATGCTCTCACGAACGGCAGGTCATCGTCTTGGACAACACTTGGATGCGGTGATTCGAATTCTGATGCATTATTGCGGTCAGTTCGGAGACGAATCGATGCAAAACGAAGATTCGGATGAGCTACGCGCAATCTGCTTCCAGGCTTTTGAATCGTTTGTCATTCGATGCCACAATGAGATCATGCCGCATGTGGAGCCTATTTTGGAGCTCGTGATGCAATTTATTTTCTATGACCCCAATTATAACTATGTCGACTCTGCTGACGAAGATGAAGATATGAATGAAGATGAGGAAGAGTATAGTGATGAGGATGGTGGCTACAGTGATGATGATGACGACACCAGCTGGAAAGTTCGTCGTGCTGCTCTTCGCGTTCTCGCGGCGATTATTACTACGAGGCCAGAGCTATTAGAGCAGCTGTATCTTCGTTGTGCCCAGCCTTTGATCTCACGCTTTAAGGAGAGAGAAGACAACGTCCGTGTTGACGTGTTTGGGGTATTTTCAGAACTTCTGCGTACAACTCGCAGGATCCTTTCGAGCTCGAATGGAACAAGTTCCTTCCAACAACAGACGTCAAACCCGTGCATTACTCAGTTAGAGATGCGTTTAAATGCTCTCGTGAATGCGGCCAACAAACAGTTTGGAATGAAAGCGTCTGTGTCGTCACGCTGTGCAGTAGTAACTATGCTGAGTGAGCTTGCGATGGTGGAACATGGAAAGCTCGGAGATTTCATAGGTCGCTTAATACCGAACATTCTCAATGCAGTGGAGGACAAACACTCAGATTTGAAATTAGATGCGCTGCTTTGTCTTCGTCTGCTTGTCGATACACATACGATGAAGCCATTCCAATCGCATATTGACTCAATCGTCAGGATTGCTGTACAATGTGCTAACGGGGACTGGTACAAGACGGTAGCAAAGGCACTTAGTCTAATTGAATCGCTTGTTCGTATCATCCGTTCTACTGATGATAGAGACCTGACGTACAAGGCGTACGCAATTCCATTGTTTGAAGCGGTGCTGCCTAGATTAAAGATCTATGATGTTGACCAAGAAATAAAGGAGGCTGCAATTAGCAGCATTGGAACAATTGTTGCTGTGTTGGGTGCGTGAATATTTGTTTTGGACGATTATGTTGCTTGTTAACCATTTTTATGTTTTGATCATAGGTGACGAACTTGGTTCACGTGTCGAAGAAGTTTATCCTTTACTCCTGGAGCGCCTTCACAATGAGGTCACACGAGTTCATAGTATCAAGGCCATTGGAGTCATTGCCCGCTCTAAGCTTAGTTTGGACATGTCGCCAGTTCTCGTGGAATGCACTCAAACTCTGGCTCACCTGCTTCGCCAACAGTCTCGTCCATTGAAGCAAGCAACGTTGAGTACCCTTACTGATCTCGTTGTTAGCAAAGGTGAATCCATGTCTGTGACTTTGCTTTGCGAAGTTGTGCAGGAAGCCTCGCATCTGCTTACTGACACGGACTTGCAGCTATGCCGCATGAGTATCACTCTAGTGTCGAACTCCATTCAAGTATGCCCAAGTGTTACCTTAACGAAGAATTTTTTGGAAAACGCCCAGCCGGAAGCTTTAAAATTATGCCACAGTTCCATGCTTCAAAGCCCTACTTTAGATGTATTAAAAGACTTTTTCGCGCAGCTGACGCAGCTTAACTCTCGCGGTAGCAGCTTTACAGATCTGTTTGAAGCATTAATGAGAACGCCAACGGAAGAATCGAAGCACTCTGTTCTGAATATCGCTCGATGCGTTGCAGGTGTATGCGCAGTTACGAGCGAAGAAAACCGCGCGATGGCTTTAGCAAAATTTATCGGTGACATAACACAAATCGAGTCCGAAAGGAAGCGAATATTGGCTCTTCACTGCTTAGGCGAATTTGGCCGCAAAAGTAAGCTTGCCGGTTACAGTGACTTTAAAGAGCTCATTTTTAAGAGTTTAAATGATTCAAGTGAAGAAGTAAAAGCTGCTGCTGCGTACTCGCTTGGTAGCATTTGCGTGGGAAACATGGAAGAGTATCTGGACAGTATTATGGTCAAATTGGAATGTGGAGAAAATTCTTACCTGCTGCTCACATCGCTGCGCGAAGTCATATCGGACCATGTCGCTGACCCTCACCATGGTATCGCAACATATGTGAACCGTGTTCTTCCTGTTCTTCAGGATTTGAGCGCTCGCCAGGAAGAAGGCGTGCGGAACATGGTCAGCGAATGCATGGGAAAACTTGCTGTGACGAATGGCTCAAAGATCATGCCAATCGTGGCCGAGCTTTGTCAATCTTCAGACATACGGTCACGTTGGACTGCCGTGACGAGTCTTAAATATGCCATGACAACCACGGCTCAGGATCTAGACGCGATCTTTGCTTACATCGACCCCTTCTTAACTGCGCTTGAAGACGAAGATATACACGTGCGTCGTGCTGCTCTTTTGACACTCAATACAGCTATTCACCACCACCCACACTATCTCGTACCTTACGTCCGCGATCGTATATTCCCTGTTCTTTTAAAGACGACGGAAATAAAGTTGGAGCGTGTCGTTGACCTTGGTCCTTTCAAACACAAGGTGGATGATGGCTTACCTCTTCGCAAGGCCGCATATTCGTGTGTGGAAACTCTGATCCAGGTGCTACCGCAACAGCTCGACATAAGCCTCTTTATTGATCAATTAAAGCGTGGTTTGGGCGATTTAGACGATATCCAGATGCTCAGCCATCAAATCTTAATTAAAATTTGCAACGTTCAGCCCGGTAGCATCGTCGGTGCATTGGACTCATTGGTAGAGCCATTGGAAAAGACAATTAACAAAAAAGTTAAAGAAGATCAGGTTGGGCCTGAGATTGAGCGCGCTAAAGACCTCATCCGTAGCGCGCTGCGTGCACTTGATGCCATGAGTGTTGTCAATGACGCCAACTCCCACCCAAGGCTGAACACTGTCATTGAAAGTGCGAAAAAGAATAAACTCTTGTGCCCTCTTCTGGATTCTATCCGCAGTGAGCGTTCAACCAATTAAGCTTTCAAGTCTAAACATGGATGGATTGGTGTTGCTCTTCTACCGAGTACAAACTACAAAAATTATCAACGAAATGTAATAGGTGGTGACAGAATAAATTACAGCTCATTTTGCCATTGATCTTTTAAAGTTTTCGCCTTATTGGAACTCAGCGTTTTACCGTCTGAAGTTTTGCTTAATTTATATCCTGATGGGACCTTTTGTGTATTCGTCTTCTTTGGCCCCACTTGTAGCCGTTTGAGATTGTAACGTTGGCGATTTTCGCTTGAAGACGATTTACTATTCCACTCGTATTCCTTCACATCTTGCTGCTCGTGAAGAAACGTCATAATTTCATTTACAAAAATGCCCTTTTGCAGTCCAATGAGCAGTTTTGAATCATCCACTTGGTATATGTTAACGTCAACTCCTCCATTCCACAGCATCTACACCAAATTTAACAACTTAAAAAACATTCGAATACTGCTCAGCTATTTCAATGTTCACCTCTTTCCACCTAGACGCAACGTCTGTAAGAGGCTCATTGTGACCTTTCTTCAGAGTCACAAATATCATTTGTGGTCCAGACATCTTAATCTCCTCTGCATTTCTATCGGTGAAGATAAGTGAGAATTCGTTTCGTTTACTGCCTCGCGTTGCGCTCACCTATCACCGAGCTGTCGAAAATGTTCGTCTCCCTCCGTGGTCAGCTCATGCTGATCATCCCCTAACTCCCACGCTTTTTCGAGTGCGTCGTAATCGATCGGTTTTGTGCGGCCACATTCTACATCCATCCACGACAAAAATGCCAAGAGGAAGATCGAAAAAATCCTCAACCAAAGCATCGTGAGGGAAGATTGCAAGATGTCGCTGACCCGTCACTTATTTATTTTTAAGCATGTATAACTGGCGCTTTGTTGTTCACCAAAATATGTCACACATTGAGTGAACGATTTGAACAGTCTTAGCGCGGAAGTAGTAAGCAGTTGCGATAGTATTGAAGTGAGATCGATGGTTTTATACTATTAACAAAACAGTACCTGCGACCGGCATAAATTATACAACACTAGTAGCTCGGAAAAATTTAAGGTATGTTGTGAGGCCATTAGACGCCTGTGAAGTTGCTATCTTCAGGGCTCTTTCTGTACTCTCTTTACATTAACACATAATCAACACAACAGAAGTAATGCACTCTGATTACAATTTCGATCAGAAAGTTGTTTCAATTCCATTCATCAGTTCGCCAGCCAAATACAAACACCTGCATATATGAGTCAATGAGCATTCTACTAGCTAGGCAATCAAATATAAAGGTATAAGAAATCAGAGTCAGCTGAGTTGCCGTAACACTCTATTGCAATCAGCTGTCAAAAAGCCTACTCATTTGCAGACTTAACGGACTCTTTATCTCCTAGCTTAAGCTGCTGCCGAACGCGCATTTTGAAATCCGAAATTTCGCCTTGATACACTCGAATAGACTGATTTTCCACGAGCCAAATCTCTTTAGCAACCTGGGAAATCAATCGCATGTCGTGACTCACCAGCAGCATCCCTCCTCCAAAATTATTGATGGCACGAGCCAATGCATCGATCGACTCCATATCCAAATGATTAGTTGGCTCATCGAGTAGTAACATGTGGGCATTCTGCTGAGCCATGTAAGCAAACACAACTCGACTCTTTTGGCCATCGGACAGCTGGCCCATGATCTGTGTTTGCACTTCACCAGTAATTCCGTACCGGCCGAGGTAAGTTCTCACCTCTTCAACGGACTTGTTTTCAAAAAGCGACCGGAAATACTCCAGCGGCGATTTCGTCAAATCTAATACATCAACGAAGTGCTGGCTAAATCGCGCAATACGCAACTTGCTGTGCGGTCGGACATTACCGGCAACAGGCACCAAATCTCCTGTAATCAGCTTAAGCAGTGTGGTCTTACCGGTACCGTTAGCACCAACTAGAGCAACACGCGAGTCCAAATCCAACCCCATTTCGACGCCTGAATACAGCAAAGGGCAATTTGGATACCCAAACGCTACATTCTGGAACATCAGCACCGGTGGTGGCAATGGCTCCGGGTTAGGAAACTTGAAATCTCCAGTCGACTCAGACTCGACCTTTTCCGTCAAACCTTCGCGAACCATCTTGGCCAGCGTTTTCTCTTTACTTTGAGCCTGACGAGCGAGCTTCGCGGATCCGTGACCAAATCTGGCAATATATTCCTTCATGTGCTTGATCTGGTCTTGCTCCCAATGATAACGTTTCATCTGATTCTCCTCTTTCTCAGCCTTTGTGCGCACATACGTGTCATAATTACCAGCGTAATACTCGAGCTTCTTATTGGTGAGATCAATGATATTCGTACAGACTTCGTTCATAAATTCTTGCGAATGCGAAATCATGAGAAGAATCTTTTTCCACTTTGACAAATAGTCTTCAAGCCAAACAACAGCTTCCATATCCAAATGATTAGTTGGCTCATCAAGCAAAAGCAAAGTCGGCTGGATAAAAAGAGCACGAGCTAGCGCGATACGCATACGCCATCCACCAGAAAACTCCTTAGTCTTCTTGTTCATCATAGCGTCTGAGAATGTCAGACCGGATAGAATCTGACGGGCGCGAACCTCGGCTGTAGCAGCATCCATGTCATCAAGACGTTCGTACAAGTCTGTCAGACGGTCTGAAATTGCTTCGCTGTCCTCTTCACTGATAGACTCGTCGGTCATCTTCTCCGAAAGCTCATCAGCCTCTGCCTGAAGCTTGTTGCGTTCTTCGTCAACTGACAGCACAGCTTCCAAGGCCGTCATGTCACTTGCTTCAATCTCGTGTTTCAGATGATAGATATCGATGCTTTCTGGAATAGGGATACCACGCGCTCCCAGAACGTTCATAAAGGTTGATTTACCAGAGCCATTGCGGCCAATGAGACCGTAACGGCGACCGTAGTTGAGCGAGATATCGCACTCTTCCATAAGTACTTTGCCAAAATACGTAATGCTAAAGTTAAGCACATTGATGTCCTTAAAGTTCTTATGGACGCTGCGCACATTATGCGAACAGGTGGCAATGATACCTTCCTCGGCAAGACGGTCAGCGTTCGACATATTATCCAATGCTTCAGCCTTCTCAGCGGCTTTCTTTTCATCGGCTGCTTTCTTGCGCGACTCTTTCTTTCCCTTCCGCTCCTTTTTCACACGCGGTTCCTTACTCTCGCGCGCCATTGCAATATACTTTCCACTTTAGATCTGATGTCCGCCAAAACCACCAATGCTTGCGGATAGCGGTGGTTAAACCTTAGGATTAAAACCTTGGAATTAAAACCTTAGCTAACTGTGAGAGATGATAATTTTTTGATTAGAGCTCCGTTTGGACAGTAAGAAATTAGCAAAAATATATTATATACCCTGCAGCATTGTGTTAGCCTGCAAAATTAATTTTTACAAATAATTGATAGTTTCATTTGTGACGCAACGAGCGCCACCTGCGATTCGAGTGCGGACAGGTAGCGATTAAATAGCTCTTGTCTTTATATTACGTGGAGTACGAAGCAACAGGCAGGCCAAATTCATCGGTAGTGCGAACCATTTTGCTCGAATCAAAGGTGCTTGAAGGTATAACTGGTAACACGTGGTCCTGAGTCGACGGCAACAGATATGATGGTGCTACTTCTGCTTTTTCACCAAGTGCTTCTTCTTCAGCCCACTCATCTTCCAGCCCCTCTAGCTCTGCTTCCAGTTCGTCTTCGTCAATCTCATCTCCAATCCTTTTGCAATAACACATTTTTAGCATTTGTTACGAAGGTGATATTTGTCCATGCACACGCACCCATAAGTGCGGCCCATTATGTCTTGAATCTCGTTCATATCTTCCATTAGATCGCTTATGTCATCTTGCACATTCTTTAGATATTCGGTGAGCAATCGACGAATATGTCAAAAGACTAAAAGCTTTTACCTCAAGCTCTGCAACGTTAATCCTCTGGGTCTCAGTTTTCAACTGCACGGCTGCACTCTTGATGGCAGCCACCGTTGTAATTGCGTCTTTAGAAGTTTCGATGGCAAACGATGTCTATATAGCAGTGCGGGATCACAAATCGATCAGAGAGATAAATAACACATCAACCTTCTCGCGTACCATACCTGCTCAATATTATAGGACTGAGCATGCAACTTGTCACGCTGCGCTTCGAACATCTTTTTTCGCTTGAGCGTCTGCATGGCACGTTGTTTGATTGAATTGATGGCTGGACCTCTCGTCTTTTTCATCTGGTCGCGATATTTGCGCAGCTCTTGTTCCAATTTATCGATCTACAGCGGTATCAAATGAGTAAAAGTTGCATCATCACGCTTTCAGAATGACAAAAAAGCACCTTCACGTCTAAATCAGTAATTCGGGCGTCCACTTCCCCCCCCACATCGGAGATATTGACGGGCGGCACCTCTGG